ATATCTTCACTATGAATATGTATTTCAAAACAGCATAAGCCGGGGCCGCGGCTCACTAGGCTAATCCTCTGCCTTGCGGCGCCGGCACACCGGGTTCTAGTCCCGGTCGGGGCGCCAGATTCTGTCCCGGTTGCCCCTCTTCCAGGCCAGCTCTCTGCTGTGGCCCGGGAGTGCAGTGGAGGATGGTCCAAGTGCTTGGGCCCTGCACCCCATGGGAGACCAGGAGAAGTACCTGGCTCCTGCCATAGGATCAGTGCGGTGTGCCGGCTGCAGCGTGCCGGCTGTGGTGGCCATTGGAGGGTGAACCAATGGCAAAAGGAAGACCTTTCTCTCTCTCTCTCTCACTGTCCACTCTGCCTGTCAAAATAAAAAAAACAGCATAGAGTACATGAAACATACATTCAATTTTATTTGTTACTTTCACAAAGCCAAAAAAACCTTGGAATCCTAATTATATAGAACTTAAAAAACACAAATCTCTTCAGCAACATAGTAACTTAGTGCTTACTGGTACTTTTTTTTGGCTTTTTTGGTTTTATCTTTAAATTTTTGAGAAAACAAAATTATTTTTAGAAAAAAAATTCAAACATCAGAAAACTTCATCCATTTGACGAAAAAGAGGGCAGCCAAAATTAAAGTGTTTAACTATTTTAAGGAAAGCTAGTGCCATTATTTTCTAATACTTAACAGAAAAGCAGGTTAGGTTAAAGAAGTATTTCCTAACTGAGACAAAAACATTCCCCACCAGAGCCCCTGGCATAATAGTAAGGCGTATGACAGTTACCATCCCTGTCTCGCCAGCAGCTAGGGAGCTCTCAGCGTTAGAAGGAAAGCTCTGTCGGGATAGATGATTACACAGTGATTCAAACGTTAGGGTGGTGCCTGAGGCAGCACCACCACCAAAGGCGGGCTACTCACCAAGGGTACTGTTTGCCAAACTGAAGGTGCAGGGCTTGCAGTATTTTGTCTTGGGTGTCAGCATCCCGGACGTGAAGGACGTTCTCCCCTAGGTGGAGCCAGCGACACATTACAATGGTTTGGACGTGGAAATACCCAAAGAATAAGGAAGCTAGCAGGGTGTGTGCTCATAATTGGCCCTGAAATGCATCAGTCTTCTATTTTGCAGGGGTGGGGAGCGCCTGGCCTGTAGGCCATACAAAGCCTGTGAAACATTTGGCCCACAGAAGATGTTATAAATGCTCAAGTGGCCCTTGGCAGAAAAAAGGCTCCCATCCCTGTTAGGGGAACATCAACATTTCTACCTTAGACCTTCTAAAGCCCTTTAAGCAAGATTTCCATGTATCAAACACTTAAGGGCACTCGTGTTATTCCCAAAGAGAAGAAACATGTTTTCGTTTGCTTATTGACATAAATAAGGTGGACTGATCTAGCATCCATGTACCACTTGCCTGGCCATCCATCAGGTCTGCCCTCTCTACCTGCCCTGCCTTCCATCTGCTCACAGCTGGTGAGCTCAGTCAGCTGGTCAGGCTATGCCGGCCCGTCTGCAGGTCAATGCCGGTTAGCTGCTCACCACACATTTCCTGACTGTGAAAAAGTACAGTGAAAACAACCACATTTTCAATAAGCTTGGCAGAAGAGAAGAGCCAAAGAGTGGTGGCTACACAGAGGTGTGGGGTCGGGGAAAGGGTTGTTTTGTATTCTTTTGTTTACAGAGAGGCCTAGGCATATCCAGCTGATGAGGAGGTTAAATAGACATGGAGAGAAAGGATGACTGATGGACAGGTCCCTGAGAAGGCAGGAGGGGTGGCATGCAGAACACAGGTAGATAAGCCATGGACTGGCAGGAGAGACACCCCTCGCCACGCAACCACTGTCAAGGTAAGACAGAGGACATTTATACACATTTATGTAAGCATGATGGCAGACAGTGTAGAGACCATGCTGTCAAAGCTCAATTCTTTCACATCTTACTCCACCTCGCAGCGACATGCTGGGCCAGCTCCTGGAAGCACCACTGTCCTGGTTTTCCTCCAATGTCTCTGGCAGTTCCTCTTCAGTCTTCCTGCTCATCCTTCCCTCCTCACCAGAACCCTAAATGTTGAAGGGCTCCAGAGCATGGTCCTGGGCTCCACTTTCTGCCCTAACTGCACGTTCTCTCTGGGTAATCTCACTTGGTTCCTTGCTTTTAGATACCAACTATGGCTTGGTGCCATTATCCTCAATGCCTTTACTTTATACAAGGAACAGAAGGTTTAGTTGATCACACAGCCAAAGATTATCTCTCTCTACTACCTAAGAGGCTATATTCCGTTGTAACTATATGGGACCATGTGGCTAGGTCCTGGTGGATATAAGAAGATATATCTCTAGGTCATGACTTCAAAGGGAAAGATATTTATCCCCTTCCTCCTTCCCAATGGCTCAATTTGGATTTGACAGCAACAGCTGGAGCAACCATCAAGAAGATGGATAGGGACCAAGTCTCAGCTGATTGTGAAGCTACCCTTCCAGTGAGAAAGAAAGAAAATCCAACTTATTTAAGGCACTATTATTTGGGGACTCTCCATTTCAGTTCAGCAACTGAGCTAATAGCCTAACTATATAGCATCCATGTGCCAATGACTCAAATTTCTAACTCCAACTCGAACTCTGCCTGGAACTATCTCTCTAGCTGCTTACTTGCCATCTCTGCTCTGATAGCTGATAAATGTTTCAAATTTCTCATAGCCATAAGAGAACACTTAATTCCATCCTCTTCCACACCCAGTCCTTCCCCAGGGTCCTCCACATCAGGAAAGAACACCCCTGCTGCCCAATCCAAAAATCTAATTGTCAGTCATCTCTCTCCCTTCAGGTATCAGCAAGCACTGTAACAAACCCGAAATCTAACTTCCCTTCATTTCTCCATTCTCCACCACTTGGTCTAAGCCACTATCATCTCCTGTCCCTTAACTAGTCTCCTTGCTTCTCCTCTTGCCCCGTCACATTCTATCCTCTGTAGAGCAGCCACAGTGATTTTTCCAAAATGCAAGTCATGTTGGGTCACTGTATCCCTTAAATGTCATTCCCGAGAATTCTCACTGATTTACACTGGCTTACCAAGGTCTGCTGCTTTCTACAACATCGTCTGCCCCACTCTGCCTCACCACTACTCTATAGCTCCATGGCCCTGTTGTCTCTCAGATACATCAAGCTTGTTCCCAACTTAAAGCCTTCACATTGGCTGTTCCTTCTGCTTCTCCCTGATCCTCACCTAGCAAACTCCTTCTCAATCAGATCTCAACTTAAGTGTCACCTCCTAAGAAGGCTTCCTTTACCCAACTGATTGTAGCCCATTACACTCCTGTGTGAACAGTCTGCACAGTACAAAGAAAGCCTGATATTTTTATTTTTGTTTGTTTATCATCTAAGTTAAATGAGAACTTGGGTCTTGTTAGTCTAGTTTACTGCTAGATCCCTCTGCCCAGCACATGGTAGGTGCTTACTGAAAATTTTCTTTTAAAATTATTTATTTATTTGAGACAGAGACAGAGTGCTCCCATCCACTGGCTCACTCCCCAGGCGCCTACAATGGCCAGGAACCAGGAAGTCAATCCAAGATCCTCCTGCTTGGGTGGCAGGGACCCAACTACTTGATCCATCACTTGCTGCCTCCAACATTGCTCACTGGCAGGAAGCTGGAGTCAGAAGCAAAGCTGGGACTTGAACCCAGGCATCCTGTTATGGGATGCAGTCATACCAAACTGTAGCTTAACACTAAGTCAAACACTCACCCCTAAATATTTTCTTAATTAATAAATTTGAAAGAATTTCCATTTCATGGCTTCTAGTTTCTCTATGAAATGGGGAACAAAGTAATATGCTAGGAATGAGAGGAGGAAAAGGTCTAAAGAAAGCAGAAAGTGAGGTGGCAGTAATGAAGAAGGGAAGAAAGAACAGCGCTGGAACTAATCTCCTTGGTTCTGGTCCTGTTCTCTTTCTGTTAATGACATACACTTTCCATTAACAACAGATATATATCTGCCTGTAGACAGTGTTAGAATTTGAACTAATTTAATAATTAAGATCTAGCTCAGTTAGAAAACTCATTAATAATTGTCTTATTTACGTGTAGGTTATGGAGAGGCACCTACTCAGAACTGCCATCCTCTACCGACTGAAGGGACTCTCTACCAGGCCCAGAAAATGAAAGACTAGCATTCGTACACTTATGACACAGTCAACCACATTCTCTTAAACACAGACATCAAAGACTATAATTAACTAAAAATCACTTAGCTCTAATTGACATTACAAGGATAATAAAAGGACATGGAACTAAAAGAAACTGGTAATAACTGTGTGTGTTTATAAATTTTAGACTGTAACTGGTCATTAACCTTATTCATTTACTTGTTCACAAAAGTATATGCCCAGCACTGGTACATGCCTTTCTTATAATAACTCATACACATGCATAAAGTCTAGTCAGGAGCAGGCATTTGGCACAAGGGTTAAGTCACCACTTGGGATGACTGCAGCTCACATAGTAGAGCCTGGTTCAAGTCCCAGCTACTCTGCTTCTGATCCGGCTTCCTACTAATGGACATTTTGGGAATCAGCTGATGATGGATCATGTACTTGGGTCCTAGCCATCCACGTGGAACACCTAAATTGAGTTCTGGTGTCCTGACTCAGCCCTGGCTTTGGGGCACATTTGCATAGAAAACCAACACATGAGAGATCTCTCTCCATCTGTCTCTCTGCCCTTCAAATAAAATGAAAATAAATTAAAAAAAATTTTTAATGTAAAGCCTAGCAGGTTGAGATATAAACAAGGTAAACACCTGTTTCTCTTCCAATCTGACGTGTTCCCAGATTGATCACAGGTGTTCCAAAGGCTCCAACCTCTCGCACCCCACAGCTGCTATTTCCAATCATACAACCCGCATGGGCAACCAGCTGTATAAACTGGTCAAACGGGACGTGTTTAACAGCACGGAAATTGGGATGATGCTCAATGCCCTTCTTCCGCATCACTCGAACCATCTCTTTGCTCCCTGTGGAAATAAAAAGAACCAGCTGTTAAATGACTTATGAGCAAAAAGAAGTCCTTTTCAAAGGGAGGTATTGTTCCATTTAAAGAAATCTCCCTATAAAAATTCACACTAGCTAGTAAGGAAAGTAATTTTAACTGCTGATCTTGTCATGCATGATGACTTTCTAAAATGTCTGGCCAGCTCTCTGCTTCAATTCAACAACTAGGATCTCAAACATCAGCAGCTGAGATTTTTTTCAAACAGAACTCAGCCAAAACCTTTAATTTAAACAACAACCAAGACGCTAACGCAGGCCAGCAGTCCATATCTTAAGCTGGGAGTCCCTAAATGGAAAGGTATCAGGCTCTACACACCAAGCTGATCAGGGAGCCTCCGCCCAGCTAACCTCAAGTTTTTCACCACCAATAGCTTAACTGGACAGGAACCCTACACATGTGGACTAAACTCCAAGAAAATATAGATAGCCTCTGACACCATGGCTATTTTATTTTGAATACATGACTTTTCAACAAAAACTAAGATTTATAAGGAGGAGAAAATATTGCCTCTACTCACCCTATCCTAGCCACCCGCTCCAAGGGAAGAAGAGTTGCTAATCTGATTGGTTAGAAGGCACGACAGTGACCACATCATGCTTACCCATGGGCAGAAGCTAGCCACGCATCTGTTCTCTCCCTTTGTGATTTTCTACACATGGCACAGTAAGTAAATGGACTCAGAGCAGGCCTGGCCACTTCTTCCCATATATAGTCTTGCCACAGCATGCAAGTCATCATCTATACATACTGTAGTATGCGGCACACCAGAAAGTACTACTATTCCAAGATTTAGATTTGGACTCAGGTTGAAGGCTCTTCTTTGGCCTGAAGCCTAAACCACATGCACTAATCCAATTTTCCAGAGAGCCCTACAATGGGGAACTGGGTCGTAAGCCAGATAATGAAAGTGCTGTGTTGATAGTTACTTCCCAGTTGATCCCTGTGTGTGTCTTATCAAAAAACCCTTGGGAAGTACAGCTGAGTAGAAGGCATGATTGAAATATTCCTCATTACCAGAGTAAGAATTGGGTATAGCAATTAAGATGCCATCTAGGACACTCACATCCCATACTGGACTGCCTGCTCCCAAGTCCAGCTTCCTGCTAATGTGTGCCCTGGGAGGCAGCAGGTGATGGCTACAGTAGTTGGGTTCCTGCCAGCCACACGGAAGATCTAGATTGAGTTTTCAGCTCCCTTGGCATTTGGAGAGTTAACCAATAATGAGGAGTTTTCTCTCTCTCTCTTCCCCTCTATATTTTCCCCTCTCTCGGCCTCTCAGACAAATAACAAAATAAATCAAAATTTAAAACTAAACATTCTCCATAAAATCCTTGGACCCTTTGCTTTCATAAGGAAAAATATCTCTAATTATAAAGTTCATAGAATCAGAAATGTTATAACCAGTATATCATTGATAATGAATATTGAACATAAGAGGTATATAATTACATTAAGATTATATATACAGAATTTAAATGATTAGAAAAGAAAAATATTAAGATTCTTACAATATGGATACATTACCTGGACAAAATCTGGGTTGGCTCTTTGTCATTTATTTTTTTTTTTTTTTTTTTTTTTTGACAGGCAGAGTGGACAGTGAGAGAGGGAGAGACAGAGAGAAAGGTCTTCCTTTGCCGTTGGTTCACCCTCCAATGGCCGCCGCGGCCGGCGCGCTGCGGCCGGCGCACCGCGCTGATCCGATGGCAGGAGCCAGGAGCCAGGTGCTTTTCCTGGTCTCCCATGGGGTGCAGGGCCCAAGCACCTGGGCCATCCTCCACTGCACTCCCTGGCCACAGCAGAGGGCTGGCCTGGAAGAGGGGCAACCGGGACAGAATCCGGCGCCCCGACCGGGACTAGAACCCGGTGTGCCGGCGCCGCTAGGCGGAGGATTAGCCTAGTGAGCCGCGGCGCCGGCCTGTCATTTATTTTTCAACTAACACCCTATTTTGTCTCTCCTAACTGATGGGTTCTTCAAAGTAAGGTGGTGACATCCCAGCATCGCAGAGAAAGGGCCCTGTCTCCTTTATCAAAAAATACCTAACATCTCAGCAATGAGTGGTGTCAACTAACAACAACCAGTATTTGAAAATTCCCCAGGGTCAGGCCTTGCTCTGGCACTTTTCATTTGGATCGCACATCCCCCACTAACTAGCACCAATGCCTAAAGCACCAGCCACCAGTAAGTGATCAACGAGGGCAGGCTTGAGAATGAAAAAAGAAAACAAAAATAACACTGACGACTTCTCCTGTGGTCAGTGGAAGCATTACTTTCCTTGAGACACTCTTGCTGCAGCATCTAAGGTTTGTGGCTATTGAGGTTTCCTGTTGGTGGAAACCGGAGGAAAGAGACTAAATGTGAGGCTCAAGTGGACGGGAAAAAAGGAGACTTTCTGTTACCCTTCTTTCTTACTGCTTTTCTGCTAGACAACAAAAGCACCGCAAACTCTGTGATCTCACAGCAAAAGTGGCAATCCTTTAAAGCGTGAATGCAATCTTCAATCAAGAAAGGAGGACAGTCAATAGAAGAAGTAATGGAAGCATGAAATTTGAAAAGGTAGGTGGCATAATTTCATTTTCAAGTTCAATTACCTGCATCAATATTTGGAAACAGAACTAAGGTCCGCTTGTTAAATGAGATAAGTGCATCCAATGTTAGTTCAAACATTTTAATGGAATGCTTAATGTCAGTGGTCACAGGGTGCTGCAGTGCAACAATGTAATCTTTAGACTTTACATCATCACCTGTGTAAAGAAAATCAAACCACAGTTTGATTAATTAATTAGGAATCTGAAAAATGAAAGAGGCAAATCCTAAAAGCAGACATTTTAAAAATTCTAGAATAAAAACACTTTGTCACATTCTAAGCAGGGCATCCAAATTAGGATCAAATGAGAAGAGATTCCAGCAACAATTTCAAGAGTTCAGCAAACTTCACATTTTACAAAGATATTTGCTACCACAAATATAATTCTTTAAATAGCAAGCGCTGGAAATGCATTGTTTTCAAATCCAGCATATTCTAGGCATGACAATTCGTGATCTCCCTGATTCCTAACATGCTTCTAATGAATGGTAGCATGTTCGATCCAGGGCACCTGGAGCTGGAGAGCGCACTGAGCACATTCTGTATGATGCACAGGGGCATCCCCATGACACCCTGCGACACAGAAGTGGCAAGTGTGTCCAGCTCCACCCGACAACTAGAAAGGCTTCCCTCATCCCTGCGCTGGAATATCAAGGACAGTTCCTTGCCAAAAATTAAAGTGTAAGAGCTTTGGATTGACAGTGCTATGCCAAACAGCATAAGACACTATTTCACAGAGCCTGTATTATCCCATAAAACTGAAAGAGCTCCACTTACTTATTTTTTAATTTTTTTTCACTCATCTTGGATGAAAGACTATCTTTGTCACATTAATTGTCAATTTCACCATGAGCTATATTGTCTATCATTAATTTCCAAATTCAATAAGCAGGAATTATTTTCTATGACTTAATGGTAACATAAGAGTTTACTAAGTTAGAATCTCTAGAGGTATTTGATTTAAAATATCATAGTGGCTCCAAAATTTTATTTTAAAACACTTATTGGTCTTGGGGCCTGTGTTGTGGCGTAGCGGGTAAAGCTTTTGCCTGTGACATTGACATCCATAAGGGTACTGGTTTATGTCAAGGCTGCTTCACTTCTGATCCAGCTCCCTGCTGATGGCCTGGAAAAAGCAGTGGAGGCTGGCTTGAGTACTTGGGCCCCTGCACTCATGTGGGAGACCCAGATGAAGTTCCTGCCCTGGGCTTTGGCCTGGCCCAATTCTGGCCATTGCGGCCATCTGGAGAGTGAACCAACATATGGAAGATCACACTATTTCTCTCTCTCTCTGTCTCTCCCTTACTCTCTATAAACTCCAACTTCCAAACAAATATTAAGTGGCCAGCACTGTGGTATAGTGGGTAAAGCCATTCCCTGAAGTGCTGGCATCCATATGATTGCTGGTTTGAGTCCTGGCTGCTCCATTTCTGATCTAGCTCTCTGCTATGGTCTGGGAAAGCAGTGGAAGATGACCCAAATCCTTGGGACCCTGCACCAGTATGGGAGATTAGGAAGAAACTCCTGGCTCCTGGCTTTGGATTGGCCCAGTTCCGGGGCCATTGTGGCCATCTGGGGAGTGAACCAGCAGATGGAAGACTTTCTCTCTCTCTCTCTCTCTTTTTCTCTCTCTCTGCCTCTGCCTTTCAATAAATAAATAAATCTTTAAAAATAAATAAATAATTATTTAAATAAAAACAACAACTTATTGGTCTCATTAGTTTCTAAACTGAGGGAGGGGTATACAATTATTAAATTTTTCTAGAGTAGAAAAAAGACGTACAGGCCTGCACAAAACATGATAAAGCATGAGAGTTTCAAAGATCAAAAGGAAGACAACCTCTCATGTTACTGTTAACAGAAGTCTGTAAAGACGCAAGCCACATAAATCCAGGTCATCTACTGGCTGTAGCTCAGGGCCATTAGAAAAAAACTGTTTCAAAGAGAAGTGGTAAACTGCAGGACATGGTGGCAATAAAAGACTTGAGGAGCCTGACCCGGAAATACTACGCATGCGCTGCAACCTGCCTTCAGGCCAAGTCTGCCCCTCTGTGAATTGGCTCACTCGACTGGCAGGGAGAGGCCAGTGTCAGCCTGTACGGCAGCTGTGTACGGGAGAACGTGGTCTCGCCAGGAGGCCCCTCCTCCCCACACTCCTTTCTCTCGGTTCTGCGCACCTGGGACCACTGAGCGGGCCAGTCTTTCTGCTCTTTAGGGTTCCGGGGGCAATTTTGCTTTCAAAGTGAGGGCACTGTGGAGCCTCTACAGCCCCACGAGGAGGCTCACTCTATACAACTCGCTGCTTCAGAGCCAGTGGATGGCTAAGAAGAATGCCACAGGTTTCCTCCGTTTTCATCTATTTCCTGTTTTAAGTGTAACGAGGAAACACCTGTGCAGGCGGGCGGGCGGGCGTTTGGTGCAGCAGGTAAGACACGTTGGGGACACCTGCACTCTGTCAGAATGCTCTTGAAACCCTAGTCCAGCTTCCTGCAGCCCTGGGAGGTGTCAGATGTCGGCTGAAGTCCATGAGTCCCTGCCACACGTGTGCAAGACCTTGACTGAGTTCCTGGCTCTCAGCTTTGGCCTGGCCCAACCTCAGCTGTTGCACACATTTGGGGAGTGAACCAGTGAATGGGAGCTCTCTGTCTCTCAAACTAATTACTTAATTAGGAAAAAAAAATGCTCATAGTACACAGAAAACAACCAGACAATGCAGAACATCTGAAACTTAACGTTATTAAAAGAACTTTTTTTTTTTTTTAATTTATATACTTGAAAGGCAGAGTTACAGAGACAGAGATCCTGTATACACTGGTTCACTTCCCAGACAGCCGCAACAGCCAGAGCTGAGCCAGACCACAGCCAGGAGCCAGGAGCTTCATCCGGGCCTCCTATGTGGGTGACAGGGGCCCAAACACTTGGTTCATCCTCTGCTGCTTTTCCCAGGCCACTAGTAGGGAGCTGGATGGGAAGTGGAGCAGCCAGGACATGAACCCGTGCCCAGATGGGATGCTAGCATCACAAGCTTAACCTGTTAGGCCACAAAGCAAACAAGTATTTAAACTATGTGTTTATGAAAGAAGGATGGCAAAACAGCAAAAACTAGATATCTTACTGAAAGCCAGAGAAAAGAGAACACAAGACAATGAGCCACAGCTACGGCATCTGGCAAGAATACATTTTGTGCAAAGCCTGCATCTGCTTGTCAACCTGGAACTTCTGACATTACCACTCTGCCTCTGTCTCCATAACCCAGTGATTTCCGCTCTCCCATTCAACCCTTTCATGACAGTGCAGTCAGTTTACATTGGGAATTTAACATGTCTTTTACACTCTGCTAATATGTTTACTAGGACTATTATATACACATGCTAATGTTCTGGTTACAAAACTGAATGTTCTAAGTGGCCTGCCAATTCTGTTTTCCTGTAAGCAGAGGGATAACATGAGAAGTTGTAGGTGAGGAAGCAGAAACGGGGATGGCACTGTGGTGCAGCAAGTTAAGGCACTACTTGCAGTGCCAGCATCCCACACAGGAGCATGGGTTTGAGTCCCAGATGCTCCACTTTTGATCTGGTTTCCTGCTAACGTGCCTTGGAAAACAGCAGTGGATGGCTCAAGTGCTAGGGCCCTTCCCATCCATGTGGGAGACCTGGTGGATTTCCAAGCTCCTACTTTGGCTAGCCCCAGACCTAGCTGTTGCAGCCATATGGGGAGTGAACCAGCAGATAGAAAGATCCTAAATAGGTGTTTACTCTTGATTTTTCCCTGGGATAGTACTCTTACATAAATTAATCAATTGGCAATCTGTTTGTGAATCTATTTTCTGATTAGCAGAAGGTAATTTCCACGAAGCTAGATCACTGATCATTGAAAATTTCAGACCTTAAGACTTCATTAAAGAGAAAAAAGCTAGTCAAAGAACTATGGTTTTTGTGGTTTTTTTTTCACCTAGCGGCACTGGCACACCGGGTTCGAGTCCCAGTCAGGGCGCCGGATTCTGTCCCGGTTGCCCCTCTTCCAGGCCAGCCCTCTGCTGTGGCCAGGGAGTGCAGTGGAGGATGGCCCAGGTGCTTGGGCCCTGCACCCCATGGGAGACCAGGAAAAAAGCACCTGGCTCCTGGCTCCTGCCATCAGATCAGCGCGGTGCACCGGCCACAGCGCGCCGGCCGCAGCGGCCATTGGAGGGTGAACCAACGGCAAAGGAAGACCTTTCTCTCTCTGTCTCTCTCTCTCACTGTCCACTCTGCCTGTCAAAAAAAAAATCATCATCATCATCATCATAATCCCTTATACTAAACACCAGTGGCTTAGTATTTTCAACATTATCTCATCTGAGTAGTCCAACAACTCATAAGAAAGTCATTAACAGTAAAAATATCATTTTCTCCATTGCACTAAAAGATGAAATGCAGAAAACAAAAATAAAAAACATCCATAGTCCCATACCAGAAATCCATATAATAAAGGACTTGGTGTACATTCTTCCTGGCCTTCCCATTGTTACAGTTTGTATAAAATGGCATTATATTACACATACTATTTCATAGCATGCTTCTGTTTTCCCTTTTTGATATATCAGGATCTGTCCTTGGAACTAAATTAATCTGCAACATTGTTTAAAAACATTCCACTGTACCAATATGGCATAAGTTTAAAAACTGACAAGCCCAGTAGCCTATTTTACAGAGGAGGTTAATCTCGAAGAGGTAGTCATACCTTGTGGGAAGATTTATGAACTAAAACCTTAGCCTTGTGGTTGCAAATGGAACATTCTATCCAGGAGTTTCCAAGAGGAATAAGCACTTCCTGACAAAACAGCTGGCTGGCTGACGCCAGTCTGACATACGTACCCAGCCACATTCGGATGATGCTCATGTAGTCTTTGTTCTTGGCTGAGAGAAGCTTGTCATAGGAAGGGCAGCCTGCCAACAGGATGCGGTCATGGTCCTCACACATGGATATCAGGTGCTGCTCTGCACTGCGGGTGCAGCACACGTGATAGTGAGCCAGCTTTGTGATGGCATGTCTGATGGAGTCATCAATAGTCCCGCTGACTTCCCCTCCTTCAATATGAAGGATTCGGATGTTCATCAAGGCAGCAGACGTAGCCAGAGCCAGGGCATCAAACCGGTCTCCATGAACAATCATGATGTCAGGCTTCAGACGGTTAAGGACATCTGGTAGCTTCACAAGGGCCAGGCCTACTGACTCCACCATGGCTGCCTCATCTTCCCCCCTAACGATTGTATGTAGCCTGGTATTAATGTCAAAGTCATCTTGTTCAATCATGCGATAGGTGTTTCTGAAACAGGAGAGAAATAAAGATGCGAGGGCATGTTCTTAAACACAGTGTTCACAATGTGAGAAAAGCAAGCAACACCTTCAACCCTGAAGGAAGAAACACTTAAACTTTTTTCATTTGCTAAAATTAAGTAAATAAATCGAAGTAAACCTTAGCCACGAAGATATCAAGCATGTATCCTAAGTGTACATGTAGCCTTACGAGTTTTTCTTACATAAATACTAGGTTAGCCAGTACTCAGATCCACACAGAACACACCCTGTACCTTAGAAGGCTCGCTTGTGCCCCTGCCCGTTCAGTAATGGGAGGAGAAACATCTGTGGAAGAATTTTTTTTTTTTTTTTAGGGAGAAAGAAACCACACTTTTAATATAGTTAAGTTTTTTTCCTTGTTATCAATTTTTAAGAAGAAATATGTACTTAATAAGAAAAAGATGTTACTTACAAAATAAAGCTTACTTTTTTTCCTACAATACAGAAAATAAGAACAGCAGGGAGGCAGAATACCTAGACTCTGTCACTAAAATATAAACTTCTGAATGATGGAAATTTGAGTCATGTTGTATGTAAATAAAGACAATCATTATGCCTTTATTTTTCCTTCCTGCTTGATTGTATTGGCTGTTACACAGCCAGTGCAAATTGAAGAAAGACGGGAAAAGTGGAAATTCTTAGCTGTTACCAAGCTAAGGGGGAATTCTGTTAGTTGTGAGTTTCTCACAGATGGCCTTTATGAGATTGAGATGTCCCTCTATGCCAAGTTTACTAAGAGATTGGTTTTTTAATCATATTTAGTTGCTTAATTTTGTCAAGTGCTTTTTCAGTATCTATTGAGATGACTGTATAAGTTTGCCCCTTCAGTCTGATGGGTTGACTTTTCTTAAATATTAAATGTAGTGATCTATAAATGTCAATCACATTAAAGTGATTGATCATTTTGTACCAGATTTCTGTATCCTTGGCTAGTTGTTATATAAATTCCTCTAGATGGGGTGAAAATCAACTATGATTACAGGTTTATCTGTTTCTCCCTTTGGTTCTCCAAGATTCTGCCTCATGAATTTTGAAACTATTATTAGATTTATACCTATTTAGGATTGTTATGCCTTCCTAATGAATTGATTTTTCATGTTTTTTAAAAAAGATTTGTTTATTTATTTGAAAGGCAGAGTTTACAGAGAGAGAGAAAGCATGTGTGCAAGAGCAAGATCTTCCATTTCATTGGTTCACTCTCCCAATGGCCTCCAAGACCAGGGATGGGCCAGGCCAAAGCCAGGAGCCAGAAGCTTCCTCTCCGATTTCCACATGGGTGCAGGGGCCCCAGCCATCTTCCACTGTTTTCCCAAACACATTAGCAAGGAGCTGGATCAAAAATGGAGCAGCCGGGACTCTTTTTTTTTTTTTTTCACCAAAACAGTACTTTATTTTGTAAATTTTGACCCATTATTACTCCCAAGTTATGTTTTTATCAGCTGTCAAGTGTACAAGGTGAAGATAAGTTTTAGTTAGATGGGGCTACACCTGGAAAATAAATTTCTTAAAACTCCATATACACGCTTCAAAACTGCTGGGTCCCAAGTCCATCTATGAACTCCAGGGCTGCCAGTATCACGGTGCAGCATATTAAAGCTACACTATCTGAATAGCTTATTAATTCTGCATAAATCAGGTCAAGCAATGTGTCAACCTGTAACAGACTGTGCACTCTAACTGAACATGGCAAAATATTCATTCTTTTGAACTTTACATCATCATTTGATGTCAAACAATGAAGCAAATCCCAACAGTATATACAAAAAACAGCTTTGCATTTACAAAAGATTGTTTCCCATACTGATTAATCCAGGCAGCTAACTCATTGGTTTATGCAACTTTATTGAAGTATATGCAGCCGGGACTCTTAACTAGCACCCACATGGGATGCCGGCACCACAGGTGGTAGCTTTACCCACTCTACCACAACACTGGCCCCTTCATTTTTTTTTTTTTTTTAAGATTTATTTTTTTTAAAAGGCAGAATTACAGAGAGAGAGAGAGATATCGTCCATCCATTGGTTCACTCCTCAAATGGCCACAGCAGCCAGGGATGGGCCAGGTTGAAGCCAGGAGCCAGGAGCTTCATCTGCATCTCCTATGTGGGTACAGGAGCCCAAGCACTTGGGTGATCTTCTGTTGTTTTCCCAGGTAGCAGGGAGCTGGATTGGAAGTGGAGCAGCTGGGACTCAAACTGGCATCCATATGGGATACTGGTGCTGCAGGTACTGCTTAACCTGCTGTGCCACAGTGCTAGCCCCATAAATTGATTTCTCATCATTTTAATATCTGTAGGAGTTTAGTCTCTCTTTGTCTCTAGTAATATTCATTGAATTAAACTCCACTTTATCTATACAATCCCACCAGCTCCTTTATGCTTACTAACATAGTACATCTTTTTCCATTACTTTATTTTTAAAATATTAGTTACATATTTGCTTATTTTTATTTGAAAGGCAGATGAAGACAGAGAGAGAGAGATCTTTCATCTGCTGGTTCACTCCTCAAATGCCCAGAGCAGCCAGGGTTGGACCAGGCTGAAGCCAGGCACCTGGAACAACTTCCAAGTCTCCCACAGGGGTGGCAGGGATCCAAGCGCTTGACGCATGACCTGCTGCCTCCCAGAGTGCACCTGAGCAAGAAGCTGGTTTAAAACAGAGTAACCAGAACATGGACCAGACAGTCTGTTGTAAATTTCTACAGTGGAAAGTCCCTCACTTTTGTCACTTTGGTCCAATTTCTCTTGCCAGAAGCAACCAATAATCTCGTGTTAAAATGTACTTTAGGGGCTGGCACTGTGGTGTAGCAGGTAAAGCTGCCACCTCTGGCTCCAGCATCCCATGTGGGCACTGGTTCAAGTCCCAGGATGCTTCACTTCACACCAGTTCCCTGCTAGTGTGCCTGGGAAAGCAGTGGAGGATGGTTCTTTGTGTCTCCCCTGCACTCATGTGGGAGACCTGGAAGAAGCTCTTGGTTCCTGGCTTTGGATCAGCCCAGCTCCGGCCATTGCGGCCATCTGGGGAGTGAACCAGTGGATGGAAGATCTCTTTCTCTGTAACTCTGCATCTCAAATAAATTAAATCTTTACAAGAAAATGTACTTTAAACATATATCTTCATGAAGTACTGGTCAAATTTTCTATTTAACAGTCTTATCAGATGAAGACTACCTTTCTACCCTTAACGAGGTAAATATTTTACTAGTAAATATTTTAATACTTAACTAGTAAATATTTTACTTATTTGAAAGGCAGATAAGAAACCACCTACAATTTTCATGAGTGCCTCTCTCCCACTAGTCTTCCTGTGAAAGCTTTCTTATAGAAGTGAAAGAACCTGCTCAGAGTTTCATCCCTGGCTCTAGCTCAAACTTCTCTTCCATAAACTTTGTCCTATCACCCAAGTGGATTTTCTTAGAGAGTCATAACTAATTTCACACTTTCAAAAAAATGTATGGATCCCTGAGGTTTCCATCAATTTCTCCTCTACTCTTAAATACTTTCTTAGATCAAACTGCCAAACTGGTTGTTTCAGAGGCACGTTTTTATGTATTTGTTTTCCTGTTATTGTCTTGTCCCTAAAAGAATAATCTAAAAAGGACAATTCTTCTTTAACACAGCTTCTTTCACACATAATATTGTGTTTTTGACCATCTCAGGTGATGCATTAACACTTTCATGCCACAAGAGTGCACTAAATGCCACACTTTGTTATGTAAAGTAAAGTGAATGGTCATTTCTGGATTATGTATTCTGCTCCCTCAAACATTGCTTAAATTTCATTTTTCATAGGGAGCCTCTGATCAATAGCAATCCTAATGTCATCAGAATATCAATGGTCATTATAATTTATCATTCTACTTTACCTTATAAATCAGATTTTTAAAATCTTATTTCATATCTATTATTTTACATGCTGCTGACCTATAACCAATTTTAAAGAATTACTACAAAACACATTACATGGAATCACATTATAATAATCACACACACATACTATATTTTTATTTATCTATTAGTGGTACTTTTGAGTAATACCATTATAACCATCATTTATCAAGCACCTGCTGAGCAGCAGCCCTGGGTGTATGCTTATGTCACTGTGTCCGTCCCACAATGCAGGGTCTCACTCCATCTGATAAACTGAAGACACTGGCCTCAGAGATGTTAAGTGACTTCTATAGGGCCTCATACAAACTAAGTGATAGAACTGGAATTTGAAACTGGGTCCATATGGCCACAAAATCCAAGCTCTCTCCAGGACACTGCTGCAAATGAAGAATAAGAAAATGCTTTCATCTTACTTACCCGTAGTCATCTATCAGGTGAGAGCCAAGTACCACCACATCAAGTTCAAAGAACTCGGGTTCCGTCTTGATGCCAAACATGATCGGGGCAAGTTTAGAATAATCGGCACGGTTGCAAGTAGCAACGCAAACCCGCAGCTTTCGGTTATTCCCGTTCTTCTCCATGAGTTTTTTTGTTTGCTTTGAGAGGTTCTTAAAATAGAGTTCCTGAAGTTGCAAAAATAAAAATGACTTATAATCAGAATGATAAGTGTTAGATACAAAAACAGAACTTTTCACTTGGAAGTCCTTAAGCGCAGTGATTCCTAACCTTTGTTTCCACCCTCTGGGACACTCCCATTGGTAAACCCAGAGTTGTGAAATTCCAGCAGACCAAATAACTCCACCCCTTTCTCTCACACTCAAGACAACACACTAGAATGCAATAAAGGAGTGACAAGGGAACAGGCATTTGGTACAGTGGTTGGTTAAGTCACTGTTTGGGATGCCTGCATCCCACACTGGAGTGTCTAGTTCAAGTCCAGCTTCCTGCTGGTGCTTCCGAGTGGTAGCAGGTGATGGCTAAAGAAGTTGGATCCCTGTCACTCATGTTGGAGATCCAAACTGAGTTTCTGGCTTCTCGTTTTGGTATGGCCCAGCCCTGACTGTTGTCAGCATATGAGGAATGAACCAGCAGATGGACAATCTCTATCTGTCTCTTTCTCTGTGTTATCCCTCTGCTTCTCAAATAAGAGGAAAATAAAATTTCTAAAAAAGAAATGACAAAATCAGTTCTCACTGGAAAGGCAAGGAAATATCAGTTTTAACATTTATTTATTTATTTTTTGACAGGCAGAGTGGACAGTGAGAGAGAGAGACAGGTCTTCCTTTGCCATTGGTTCACCCTCCAATGGCTGCTGCGGCCGGCGCACCACGCTGATCCGATGGCAGGAGCCAGGTACTTATCCTGGTCTCCCATGGGGTGCAGGGTCCAGGCACTTGGGCCATCCTCCACTGCACTCCCTGGCCACAGCAGAGAGCTGGCCTGGAAGAGGGGCAACCGGGACAGAATCCGGCGCCCCGACTGGGACTAGAACCCGGTGTGCCGGCGCCGCTAGGCGGAGGATTAGCCTAGTGAGCCGCAGTGCCGGCCAGCTTTAACATTTATTAAAAAAAATTTTGTGGGGCCAGTACTATGGTATAGCCAGTAAAGCCACTGCCTGCAGTGCTGGCATCCCATATGGGCACCGGTTCAAGTCCCAGCTGCTCCACTTCCAATCCAGTTCTTTGTTATGGCCTGGGAAAGCAGTGGAAGATGGCCCCTGCACCCATGTGGGAGACCTGGAGGAAGCTCCTGGCTCCTGGCTTTGGATCGGCATAGTTCCAGCCATTGTAGTAGCCATTTGGGGAGTAAACCAGTAGATGGAAGACTTCTCTCTTTCTCTCTCTGCCTCTCTGTAACTCTGGCTTTCAAGTAAATAAAATCTAGGGGCCGGCGCTGTGGCGTAGCAGGTTAAGCTGCTGCCTGCAGTGCCCCATCCCATATGGGCACCAGTTGAAGACCCGGCAGCTCCACTTCCAATCCAGCTCTCTGTTATGGTCAGGGAAGGCAGCAGAGGATGGCCTAAGTCCTTGGGCCCCTGTACTCTTGGAGACCCAGAGAAAGCTCCTGGCTTCATATCAGGTGTAGCTCCAGCTGTTGTGGCCAACTGGGGAGTGAACCAGCAGATGGAAGACCTCTCTCTCTGCCTCTGCTTTCTCTGTGTAACTCTGACTTTCAAATAAATAAGTAAGTCTTTAAAAAAATCTTTCAAAAAAAAAATCTGTGCTTGCTATACCTTACAACTAAGCCTAACATACTAGGCTATAGCTAGTTTGGCTGAGAACCACCAACCACTTTACAAAAAGGGAAATACAGGTCCTAAAAGCAGAACTTACTTTCCCAAGACTCAAGATCACATCTTTTAAAAAATTTTTTAAATCCATATATTTTACTTATTTTAAAGTCAGACAGAGAGTCTTCATCTACTGGTTTACTCCCCAAGTACCCACAACAGCCGGGGCTGGGCTAAGCTCAGGCCAGGAGCCCAGACCTTAGTCTGCATCTCCCAAGTGGGTGGCAGCAACTCAACTACTTAAGCCACCACCCACTCTCTCCCAGATGTATATTAGCAGGAAGCTGGGATCAGGAAAGGAGCCGGGCATCAGACCCAGGTTCTCTGACATGTGTCTTAACTGCTGTGCCAAACACCTACCCTCAAGATGATATCTTAATAAGAACCTAATCTATTCATCTTAACATTATACACCCCCGTGGCTCAAATGCAAAGCACTGTAATTAGTGCTGGGGAACAGCAGGATAATTAAGATGAAAAACCCTACCCTCAAGGCATCGTTAACACCTACCCAACACTGCTGACTGCCAAACTCCAAATGCACACCAGAGAGCTCTTGCTATGTGTCACAGCACTTAAAGTCAGTGTCCCAAACTGAACTCATCTTCTTTTCGAAACCTGTTCCTCCGTAACTGTTCTCTGATTCAGTTATGCACTTCCATGTATCCAAAGGCCTCAACATCCTTATCTTTTCTGTTCCGCATTCCATACCCTCTAAGCTCTGTCAATTCCACCTCCTGAATATCCACCAAATGTGTCCTCTCCTCTTCAATCCTACCAGGACCTCCCTTGGTCCAGTCCCTCATCTTAGCTCTGGACTATTAATAACAGCTTTGAAGTGATTGGCCTGTCTCTAGTCTTAACCTGTCTCCAACAAACTTTCAAAGTTATTTTTCCAAAGATGATATATGTGGTTATCACACTAAACAGAATACACTACCTATGGGACATATATAGGATAAAGTCCAAGTTGTTGCTCCAAGTTGTTGATAAGAAACATGTAGTCCGTGTTTCTTAGCCTTACTCTGCCAGAGCTCCAGACACAGCAACTGCCTCAATTCAACTAGTGCATCTCCACATTTCTGTGTCTTTTAGATGCAAATCCCTCTCCTAACACTTCTTGCCTGGACTCCTACTCACCCTTCAAACCTATGTCTGAGTGTCACCTCTTCTGGAAAGGCTTAACATACACCTCAGTTCCTCGTCACCCTACCCTACCCCTCCAGGTTGCTGCCTTCTCTGAGCACCATGGCCTTACCATAAGGAAATAAGACTCTCCCCCAACTCCACTGCCCACCATTCCCCTACCGTGCCATACCCTACATTCAAAAGGTAAAAAGCAGGGACAAGGGATAACACATTTGCTTTATGAGACATTTGAAACTTCTCCACACCAGTGAAAAATTTCACCTCTGATATCGATGCTGTGGTTTTGGTAACTGGGAGTTCAGAGAAGCGGGGCAAGGATGTCAGTACAAGCAGCACAGCCCCTTAGATTGGGGTAAACTATGAGACTCACTTGGTAGCCCAGCAGCAGGTGCTTTAGGGTAGAATTCTGTGAACATGCAAATTACCCTTCCTTAGGACCACTCAGAATTTGCTTTCCCCAGTTACAGCAAAGCCCACCCAATGGAAAGCCCTTACAACATAATGGAATGTGCCTTCTGCCGGGGGCACTGAACTCAGAAAACCTAAGCTCTATCTAATCACTAAAGGGACAAAAGTATTCTTCCAAAGATGGCTGCCCTAAGTGTTCTTGTCTAAAATCCTTCTTTCTCTGAGCATGTTCGAGCTGAATAAATTGTGTGTGGGTGATATTTAGATTGCTGAGTGAGGCAAAGCAGAGCCTTCATGGTTGGTTGATTTGTATTTATTTTCCAAAGAACAGCAAACTTCCTGTCTGCCAATACCAAAATGCTTTGTTACGCAAGTTATTCTACATAAACTGTGAAGATAAAAGGCCAAAGCTTTCTATTAAAGAAAGAAGTAAAATCTAAAAAAAAAAAAAAAAAAAAAAATCAAAAACAAAATAACCATAAAATGGCCTTTAAAATAGTATGCTGCATTCAGGGAAATATGACAATCACGTGAATTTTTTTTTTTTTTTTGAAGATTTATTTATTTACTTGCAAGGCAGTTAGAGAGAGAGAGAGAGAGAGAGAGAGAGAGAGAGAGAGAATCTTTCCTCTGTGGTTCACTCTCCAAATAGCCACAACAGCTAGGGCTGGGCCAGGTTGAAGCCAGGAGTCAGGAGCTTCTTTTGGGTCTCCACATGGGTACAAAGGCCCAAGCATTTTGGCCATCTTCCACTGCTTTCCCAGGCACACTATCAGAGAACTGGATTGGAAGTGGAACAACCAGGACTCGAACCTGTGCTCATAAGGGATGCCAGTGTCATAGGCAGCTGTTTAACCTGCTGTGCCACAATGTGATTTTTTTTTTAAAATTCTGACCCCATGTGAATTAAAAAAAAACAAAAAAGACTTATTTATTTGAAAGGCAGATACAGAGGGGAGGAAGGCAGAGAGAGAGAGAAAGAATCTGTTATCTGGTTCATTTCCCAAATGGCTGCAATAGCCAGGGCTGGGCCAGGCCAAAGCCAGAAGCTAAGAACTCCATCTGGGTCTCCCTCATGGGTGTCAGTGGTTCAAGTCCCTGGGCCATCTTCCACTGCTTTCCCAGGAGTGTTGGCAGGGAGCTGGATCAGAAGTGAAGCAGTCAGGACTCAAGCAGATACTCACTGGGGTGCCAGCGTTGCAGGCAGTGGCTTTACCCACTGTACTACAACATAAATCCCCTTAAAATGCCTTTTTAAAGGGAGGAGTTGTGGGGCCCGGCGTTGTGGCACAGTGGGTTAAAGCTCCAGTCTGCAGCATCACCATCCCATATAGGTGCTGGTGGCCGGCGCCGCGGCTCACTAGGCTAATCCTCCGCCTAGCAGCGCCGGCACACCGGGTTCTAGTCCCGGTTGGGGTGCCGGATTCTGTCCCGGTTGCCCCTCTTCCAGGCCAGCCCTCTGCTGTGGCCCGGGAGTGCAGTGGAGGATGGCCCAGGTGCTTGGGCCCTGCACCCCATGGGAGACCAGGAAAAGCACCTGGCTCCTGGCTCCTGCCATCGGATCAGCGCGGTGCGCCGGCCACATCGCGCTGGCCGCGGCGGCCATTGGAGGGTGAACCAACGGCAAAGGAAGACCTTTCTCTCTGTCTCTCTCTCTCACTGTCCACTCTGCCTGTCAAAAATAAAAATAAAAATAAAAAAATAAAAAAAAATAAAAAAAAAAAAAGCCGGCCATATAGGTGCTGGTGAGTCCCAGCTGTTCTACTGTTCTGATCCAGCTCCCTGCTAATGCACCTGGGAAAGCAGCGGACAATGGCCCAAGCCCTTGGGCCCCTGTACCCACGTGGGAGACCCAGAAGAAGCTCCTGATAGGCTCAGCTCTGGCAGTTGCAGCCATTTGGGGAGTGAACCTGCAGATGGAAGACTTCTTTCTCTCTCTGTCTCTACCTCTCTCTCTCTAACACTTTCAAATAAATAAAATAAATCTTTAAAAAATAAAAATAAAGGGAGTTTTTAAAAAAGCAATTCAAAGTAACAACTTAGTTTTTGATTGAAAAGCTATATAGCAAAAAGTCTTATCAGTGTTCCCAGCCATATCATTCTTTTTCCTGGAAGTTAACAGTTACTGATTCCTTATTTATCCTTCCATAGGTAAACTATCATTATATAAATAAATATACATGCTTGTTTATAAATACATACAATGTATATTTACAACTGGTAACATATTCCACAAATTGTTTGGCAAACCTTGCTTTTTAAGTGTTTTTAATTGTGTTTCTGAATTAAATGGTAAAGTGGAAAAGATCAGACATTGGAAATATCAAAGCTAAAAGTGCTAAGCTTTGCAAATTGCTAGCCATCAATTTTTCAAATATATGAAGAGTTATGCTAGCCCTGAATGTTAAAGCATACAATGTCACAAACATTTATTAAATATTCTTTGTAGAAAACTCAAAGAAGCATCGAGCTGAGAAAGACCTAGTTTCTGATTTTTAGGAACTTATAATAATCTGGTCATAACACTAGAACACACAGTAACCAGTTCCCTTTCTACCTAAAGCACCAGAAACAAAATTAATTTTTTCTCTTCCACTCTACATTATTTGTTCTCAAGAAAATGTCACCAATGCCATCTCACTAGTCCCAGTGATCAATTTCTGTTCACAATTGATCATAATGATAGGACTAAGAACCAAAGGGATCATATAAACAAGAATAGTGTCTGCAAATACTAGCTGATAGAATAAAAAAGGGAGAGAACGATCCAACATGGGAAGTGAGATACACAACAGACCCATAGAATGGCAGATGTCCTAAACAGCACTCTGGCCTCAGAATCAGCCCTTAAGGCATGCGGATCCGGCTGAAAAGCCCATGAGAGTATTTCAGGCATGGAAAGCCAAGACACTCTGGGGGGAAAAAAAAAAACCTAAATGAAAGATCTCTGCAAGTGAGATCCCAGTGGAAAGAACGGGTCATCAAAGAAGGAGGTACCTTTCTCTGAAGGGAGGAGAGAACTTACACTTTGACCATGGCCTTGTCTAAATATGATCAGAGTCGGTGAACTCAGGGGGCTTCCATAGCCCTGGCAGCTCATGACAAGAGCCTAGGGTGATTACTGAGGCCATAAACAAGAGTGTCAATTTGTTAAGTCAACAACAGGAGTCACTGTGCACTTACTCCTCATGTAGGATCTCTGTCCTTAGTGTGCTGTACATTGTGATTTAATGCTATAACTAGTACTCAAACAGTATTTTTCACTTTATGTTTCTGTGTGGGAGCAAACTGTTGAAATCTTTACTTAATGTAAGCTAAACTGATCTTCTGTATATAAAGAGAATCGAAAATGAATCTTGATGTGAATGGAAGGGGAGAGGGAGTGGGAAAGGGGAGGGTTGCGGGTGGGAGGGACATTATGGGGGGAAAGCCATTGTAATCCATAAGCTGTACTTTGGAAATTTATATTCATTAAATAAAAGTTAAAAAAAAATGTCATGCCCAAAGACATATTTTTATACTGAGAACTGTGACCACAGTCTCCATCATCAATACAAAATGAATAAACATGGCAAAATGGACTTCAACTATATTAGAGAAATTTAAATTCTATAAGGGGGCATCTAAAACAAACAAGTTAGGGGCTGGCATTGGTGTGGGGCTGAGACGCTGCTCGGGATGCCCGCATCTCAGATGGAAGTACCTGGGCTGGAGTCTTAGCTCTGTTCCCGATTTCAGGTTCTCTCTGGTGTGTACCCTGGATCAGAAGAGAAGCAGCTGAGACTCAAACCAACGCTCTGATATGGGATGCTAGATGGCTGTGCTACAACCACGACAGCCCCCTGGCTCTACTTTTGATCCAGCTTCCTGCTAATGTGCACCCTGGAGGCAGCAGGTGATGGCTCAAGTGCTTGGCTTCCTGCCACCCACACTGGAGACTTGGATTGAGTTCTGGGCTCCTAGCTTTGAGCTGGCCCAGCACCAGCTGTTGCAGGCATTTGGGGACTTATCCAGTGGATGGGAGATCTCTTCTCTTTCTTCTGCCTTTCAAATAAATAATAAATAATTTTTAAAAATATGCTATAAGTAAAAATGGGAAATAATTACAGCAACATGTACATGTATTTGAAATACTTCATTATTAAAAACAAGAAATCTAGGGGCCAGCACTGTGGCATGGCAGGTAAAGCTGCTGCCTGCAGTGCTGGCATCCCATGTGGGTGCCAGTTCAAGTTCTGGCTGCTCCTCTTCCGATCCAGCTCTCTGCTATGGCCTGGGAAAGCAGTAGAAGATGGCCCAAGTCCTTGGGCCCTTGCAGGTAACCTGGAGGAGGCTCCAGGCTCTTGGCTTTGGTTTGGCCCAGCTCCAGTCATTGTGGCCATTTGGGGAGTGGGCCAGCAGATGGAAGACCTCTCTCTATCTCTCTCTCCTTGCCTCTTCCTTTCAAATAAATAAATCTTTTTAAAAACGAATTTTAAAAAAACAAGAAATCTTTTCAGTGAACATGGTCAATGAAGTGTATTGTTCATAATGCCCTAAAGCCTAAAGCTCAAAAAGTGAAGAGGAGGGTTTGGAAATTGGCATTCATTTCGCTCTCCAATTCTATGACTGTAACTGGAGCTACCAAAATACACAGCTACGCAGCTACACAGGAGACAGACTGCACAAAAGCATGCCTTTACCTTGAACTCACAGGCAGCCTCAAGAAACGCAAGCCTTGGAGAGCATTTTCTGTATTCTCTCAAGACTGCCCATTACAAACAGACAAAAAGTGACTAACCCTTTCCAGAAAAATGAGTGTCTCGTTCATCTGTGGAAAAAGTTCTTCGTGGGAAGATTTTTGTTGTTGTTGTTGTTCATCAACTTAAAATAGCGCACACTGGTCGGAGCAGTCACAGGACAGAGGAAGCAGCAGTGATGGCAAACCTTGGCTGAGCCTCCAGCAGCATTAGATAATTCATCTCATCCTCACAGCTCTCTTATGAGCCCCGTTTTACAGAGTACCGAGATACAGAGAAAATAATTTACACATCCAAAAAAAATCACAGTTAAATAGTTGCTAATCAAGGGGAGCAAAAATCGAGGCTGGCATTGTAACACAGCAGGTTAAGTGCCTGTGACACTGACATCCCATATGAGCACTGGCTGGAGTCCCCACTGCTCCACTTTCAATCCAGCTCCCTGATGACGTGCCCAGGGAAAGCAGCAGCAGAGGGCCCAAGTCTTGGGCTCCTGCGCCCACGTGGGAGACTTGGATGGAGTTCCTGGCTCCAGGCTTCCGTTTGGCCCATCTCGGGCCGTAGGGGCCATTTGGGGAGTGAACCAGCAGATGGAAGATCTCTCTATCTCTCCCTCTCCCTGTAACTCTGCCTTTCAAATAAATAAATATTAAAGAAAGAGGGAGAGAGAGAGAAGCAAGTCAAACCATGATTTGAATGACTCCAGCCCCAGGCACTGCCCCATGCCCACTGGTTGCCTTGTGGCTGTTCATGTCCTAACCATCCATGAACGCAAAGCTTCCTTGAAGAGAACACCAATTATCACCCGTCAGCGCGGAGGGGATGAGGCGCACAGCAGTAAGAAGCGAAGGGCCACATCCTGGAGGGGTGACCTGGAACTCCGAACCCTGTTTCCAGGCTGTAATTCCGTGTCACTTGTCCTCCCAGAGCTGCTCAAGAGGGGTTAGCCAGTTACCTATGCTGCTAAACTGTGTGTGCCCCACCTCGCCTATCAGAGAGGAGCAAGTACTTGTGGCCCAACAATTTTCTGTGTGCTCAGAGTCCGGGCACACATAAAAACCTAAGTAAGTGCTTCTCAAACTTCCAAGAAGGCCCTGGCTCAGTGCAGACGCAGAGCTGGGCGGGGACCTTCAAGATCATCTTTCAGCTCAACCTCCCACAGCCCTGGCCAGCTGGTCTGCGGGAGTCTCTCCACCCTGTCTCGCCACTCCAGTTACCCGGGCCCACCCCCAGCCCGTCCGCGGCGGGGCCCCGAGCCGGGCCAAAGCGGGGGCTCCATCGGGCAGCACGAGGCCACCTCGGGATGCAGGCCTGCGGGCAGGGGGCGGTGGAAAGCTGCCGGCGGCCGGCCGGGGAGGCCCTGGGGTCCTGCGGGATGCTCTCCCCAGTCCCCCGCGGACGCGCGGCTCTCACCAGAGGCTGGTTCCCTCCCGCGCCGCCGCCGCCACCAACGCCGCCGCCCCAGCTTAACTACGAGAGCCGAACCCAGGGGCAGAAAGCGCGCCGGCCGCAGGCCCGCCCCTCAGGCTTCCGCAATCCAGACGCTAGAATCGATGACTCGTGGCTCGACCCGGGTGCCCGCTTCTCCCACGCCCCTCCACACCCACCCCGAACGCCGAATCGGCGACAGCGCCCTGACGTCACCCGGCAGGGCTCCCGTGATTGGCTGTCGCTCACGCTCCCAGCGCCCTCACCAACGGTTTTTAGGAGACCGGATACCCGGTGGGCGAAGCACCTTCCGTTGTCGTGGCGGCGCTGGTCCCGCGGTGGGGTGGCCGACCCGCCCCTGTGCCCGCCCCGGCGCGTTCCCTCCGCCGGCGCCGCCGCCGCACCGAAACGCGAGTCCTTCCACGCGGTAGTTGCTTTGGCCTTGCACCCAAGGTGGGACTCCTTAGCCTTCCGTTCCCTCGGTCACCTCATAGGCGAAGACCAAAGCGCACCCGGGTGTAGCCTGCCCCTCCCACAGCTGTCCCTGCGGTGGAGCCTGGCCGCTCCCCGCCCTGTCTGCCCGGAGGCCGCGGTGGCGCGGGTGCCCAGAGACAGCGGCGGGGAAGGGCTCGCACAGTTCCTGGTGGACACTGGTCCTTTGGAGTTCCCGAGTCGCCACCACTAGGAAACGTTGAATGAGTTGATAACACGAAATGTTAGAACTCTCTTCTAGAAACAGTAGGAAATTACACAGGTGACACTGTTTAAACGTTAACAGCTCATTGCTACTTGTTGCTGGAAGCAGTTTTGCAGTTTCTAACAGTAAAACTCTAGTTTGCAGAATACTTAAAACCTGGGAGTTCTCCTGCAGATAGACTAGGGTCAGGGAAAGGTCACATAAGCCTAAAAGGACCGACAGGGGTTTTGTGCAAGGAAGTGCTGCCATCAGATTTCTTTTTTGTTTGTTTTAAAGATTTATTTACTTGAAAGGCAGAGTTACAGAGAGAGGGAGAGACAGGTTGATCTTCTGTCAGCTGGTTCACTCCCCAAATGGCCACAAGGGCCAAAGCAAGCCAGGAGCAGGAGCTTCCTCCTGGTCTCCAGTGGATGCAGGAGCCCAGGCACTTGGGCCATCCTCCACTGCTTTCCCAGGCCATGCGCAAGGAGCTGGATCAGAAGTGGAGCAGCAGGGACTCGAACTGATGCCCATATAGGTTTCTGGCGTCACAGTGCTGGCCGCCAGATTTCTTTTTAAAATATAGCTTTGCTGCATGGAAAATGGAATGGATGGGAGTCAAGAATGACAGCAGTGAAAGTCAAGTGAGTGAATATGAGATTTATTTCAGAAGTAAAGTGGATGGAATGCTGGATTCCATATAAGGGGATGACAGGGAAACGGAGTCGGGTTTCTGTCATTAGTAATTGGATGGTCCTTTGTGCCATCTACTGAGATGAGAAAGACTGGAGGAGTGACCGGGTTAGGGAAAGAAAATAAAATTTGAAGGTGGGTCATGTTATGCTTGAGATGCCTTGAGAGCTGATGAAACAAATAGGTAATAAGGTGAATCTGGATATGAACTGTGTAAATAGTGTATTAGTTTCCTTTTGCTGCTGTAACCTGTTACCACAAACTTAGTCTTAAAACAACACAGCTTTATTATTTCACGGTTCTGAAAGTTAGGAGTCTGAAATTAAAATCAAGGTGTCAGCTGTACACGAGAGAAGCCATTTTCTGGTCTTTTCCAGCTGCCACAGGCTGTCCCTTGGCTGTGTCATCTCTGACCTCTGCTACCCTCGTCACGCTTCCTTCTCTGACTCTTCTGCCTCCACCCTTGTTTCACTGGAACCACCTGGTAGTCCAGGGTAATCTCGTCTCAATATCCTTAATTACACCTGCAAAGTCCATGTTGCCATGTAAGAAACAGTCCCCACTTCTGGGGCTGAGGACATGGATATTTTGGGGGAGTCATTATTCTGCCTGTCACAGGTGGTACTGAAAGTCTTGGAAGTCATTCAAGATGGGCGTATTACTTGTAAAGTTACATAACATGCCACCAAATATTCAGTGGAGCGTTAGGTTTTTTCTCTTAAAACTTGAGAAAACTTAAAAACAGTGTTCAATGTTCATTTAAAAAATTTAGATGCTGATTACATGGGTGTGTTTAGGTTGTGAAAATTTGATTTGTACTTAATATATATGCACTTTATTTATTTATTTGAAAGAGTTACACAGAGAGAGAAGGAGAGACAAAGAAAGAAATCTTCCATCCACTGGTTCACTCCCCAGTTGGTCGCAATGGCTGATGCTGTGCTGATCCGGAGCCAGGAGCTTCTTCCGGGTCTCCTACACGGCTGCAGGGGCCCAACGCTTGGGTCATCTTTATTGCTTTCCCAGGCCATTAGCAGAGAGCTGGATTGGAAGTGGAGCAGCTGGGACTTGAACGGTGCCCATAAGGGATGCCGGCACTGCAGAAGGCAGCTTTACCCTCCATGCCTCAGCACTGGCCCCTATATATGCACTTAAAAAAATTTTTTTTGGAGGATAGGCAGATGAGAGAGAGCAAGGATGAACCCACCCAGTGCTTCACTCCCCAAATGCCCACTATGGCTTCCAGAGCTGGACAAGCTGAAGCCAGGAGCCAGGAACTCAGGCCAAGTCTTCCACACAGGTGGCAGGAATGCAATTAAGACAATTAATGCTGTGTCCCACAGGCTGCATTAGCAGGAAGATGAAGACCCAGAGCTGGAAATCAAACTCAGGTGTTCTGGGGTGGGTGTGTGTGTGTGTGTGTGTGTGTGTGTGTGTGCGCGCGCGCGGGCATCTTAACTGCTGTGCTAATACAAGCTTCTATCACCACCTTTTATTGCCATTAAATAGAACCTACTTGCTTAGCTGCTACCCTGTATTTCCTCTTTATACAAACTAGAACTTTTACACATATGGCAGAAGCCTGTCTCAAGTTGATCACAAGCATCACTTTCACTTGATCTTAGCCAAAAGGCCAAGAAGCGATACAAGCATCACTTTCTTGATGAATTGTTCCACTAGTTAAGAAGCCACATCTTGGGGCCGGTGCTGTGTTTAGCAAGCTAATCCTCTGTCTGCAGTGCCAGCATCCCATATGGGTGCTGGATAGAGTCCTGGCTGCTCCACTTCTGATCCAGCTCCCTGCTAATGCACCGGAAAAGCAGCAGAAGATGGCCAAGTCCTTCTGCTCCTGTATCCACGTTGGAGACCTGAAAGAAACTCTTGGTTTCAGTCTGGCCCAGCTCTGGCCGTTGCAGCCATTTAAGGAATGAACCAGCAGATGGAAGATCTCTTGGTTGGTCTCTCTCTCTCTCTCTCTCTCATTCTTTCAAATAAATCTTTAAAAAGTTATATCTCTATTGCTCACATCAAAGTTGTGAGATTTTTAAAAAATGTTTTCTTTAAAAATCAAGATATATGATGTCAATAGCATTCTCCTGATCTAGTAGTTTAATAAAGCTTTCAAAAAAGAAAATGACAGGGACTGGTGCTGTGACACCAGGTAAAGCTGCCACCTGCAATGCTGGCAGGGTGCTCATGCTTAAGTCGCGGATCCTTGACTTCCAGTCCAGCTTCCTGCTGCTGTGCATGGGAAAGCAGCATCCATGGGGGAGGCCTGAATGGAGTTTCAGGCTCCTGGCTTGGGCCTGGCCCAACCCTGACCATTATGGCCATTTGGGGAGTGAACCAGAGGATGGCAGATCTCTCTCTCTCTCTCTCTCTCTCTCTCTCTCTCTGTCTTGCTTTGTCATTCTTTTTCTGTAACTCTGCCTTTCAAATAAGTAAATCTTTTGGGGAAGAAAAAAAAAAGGTGGGGGGTTGGCTTCATGGTATAGTGAGTAAAGCTGCTGCCTGTGGTGCCAGCATCCCATATGGGCACCAGATTGTATTCTTCCAATCCAACTCCCTGCTAATGACCTGGAAAAAGTATCATTTAGGCCCCTGTCACCCACATAGGAGACCCAGATGAAGTTCCTGGCTCCTGACATCAGCCTGGCCCAGCCCAGTCATTGCAGCCATCAGGGGAGTGATCCAGCAGATGGAAGATCAATTCATTCATTCTTATTCTCTCTCTCTCTCTCTCTCTCTCTCTCTCTCTTTCTCTCTTTTTTTCTCTCCTCCTTCCCTCCTCCTCCTCTCTCACTCTGCCTTTCAAAATAGATTTATTTATTTATTTGAAAGAGTTACACAGAGAGAGGAGAGGCAGAGAGAGAGAGAGAGGTCTTCCATGTGAAGTTTCACTCCCCAATTGGCTGCAGTGGCCTAAGCTGTGCCGATCCAAAGCCAGGAGTCAGGAGCATCTTCCAGATCTCCCACGCGGGTACATGGGCCGAAGGACTTGGGCCATCTTCTACTGCTTTCCCAGGCCATAGCAGAGAGCTGGATCGGAAGAGGAGCAGTGGGTCTTGAACCAGTACCCATATGGGATCCTGGCGCTTCAGGCCAAGGCATAATCTGCTGCGCCACAGCACCAGCCCTGTAAATAAATCTTTAAAAAGAAATCAAAATGATAGCACTTTGGCATACCTTAAAAATTTTTTTGAGAGGCAAGAGAAAGCACCCTCATGGGCTGATTCACACCACAAATGCCCACAGTGATTGGGACTGGTGCAGTCCAAAGCCAGGAGCCAGTAACACAATCCAGATCTCCCATGTGGGTGGTAGGAACCTAACTGTCTGAGCCATTACACTGCCTCCCACGTTCCCCATTAGCAGGAACCTGGAGTGAGGAGCCAGAGCTGAGGATTGAACCTGGGTACTCCAGTGTGGGACATTTTAACTGCTAGGCTAAATGCCTGCGCCTTACATGGTGGTTAAGATGCTGGTTAGAGGTTTGATGTTTGGCACAGTGATTAAGTTAGTGCTGCTTCGGATGCCTGCATACCATATTGGAGCATTTGATTTGAGTCCTGGCTACTCCATTTCTTATTGGATTCCTGCTGATGCACACCCTGGGAGGCAGCAGATGATGGCTCAAGTACTTGGGTTCCTGCCACCTACCTGGGAGACCCAGATGGAGTTTCAGGCTCCTGGCTCCAGCCTAGCCCAGCATTGGCTGTTGTGGGCATCTGAGAAGGGATCCAGTACATGGAAGATCAGTCTTTCTGTCCTTGCCTCCTCCTCTTCCCCTGGAGGATAAAATGAAAATAAGAAAATAAAGGGGCTGGCGCTGTGGCGCAGTGGGTTAATGCCCTGGCCTGAAGCACCGGCATCCCACATGGGCGCCGGTTCGAGACCCAGATGCTCTGCTTCCTGTCCAGCTCTCTGCTATGGCCTAGGAAAGCAGCAGAAGATGGCCCAAGTCCTTGGACCCCTGCACCCATGTGGGAGATCAGGAAGAAGCTCCTGGCTTCGGATCAGCACAGCTCTGGCTGTTGTGGCCAATTGGGGAGTGAACCATCGGATAGAAGACCTCTCTCTCTCT